TCCATCCATCCATCCATCCATCCATCCATCCATCCATCCATCCATCCATCCATCCCTCCTTCCATCCATCCACCCATCCATCCATCCCTCCATCCATCCATCATATCTATCTATCTATCTATCTATCTATCTATCTATCTATCTATCTATCTATCTATCTATCTATCTATCTATCTATCTATCTATCTATCTACCCAAAATATACATTCAGAATCTTTAAACAGATTAAGTTGGAGGTGTACCAGTTTCTTATTATTTTCAGATGACAGAAGTAAATACACCTCTGGACCATTCACAAAAAAGAAATCATGAACTTGCAGTTCATTTTTTTTTTTTGCCAAGTGTTTGTGTACAAACGCTGTTGTTGTTGTTATTGTTGTCATTGTTGTTGTTGGTCTTGTTGATGTTGTTGTTGTATTTGTTGTTGGGTTTTTTCGCTGCCACAAAGAGTAGCACAGATTTTTGTTTTCCTCTCCTAACATTAGCTCATACCTCTTTTTTCACTGGACAGCAATGGGGTTCCATTTAACACATAAGCCACTTATCAGGAATACATTTTACTCCAATATTACTGAAGAATCACCCCAAAATATCAATCAGTCGAACGTACTGTAAAGACCACATATTATACAAACACATGTACAAATGACCACTCTCAACTTACCCTCTTTTGATTGATTTTTTACGGTATAATGATATTGTCCAAATCGTCTATATTCCAAGTGAATCACTTTTCTGTTTGGCAGTGACCGCCTTAGACAATTCAGACAGTCTAAAGAGATGTCTCTGTTAGAAACGATACCATTTATCACGCAATTTTTGCAGTGTGACTTGGTGGTGCATTTCCAATTTCATGTAAAAACCATGTTCTCATTTCCTTCAACAAAATAATTAGTCTCGTCAAATTGTGGCTCCAAAAACGTTGGTCTTAATGAGTCTTATCGTTGTTTAATCTGAATGTTGGATATCATCCAGGTCTTGATTTCGTCTACCCATTTTAGCACACTTTGAGATAATAGATGCACTTTACCTGGCTCTTTAGACATTTGCAGCTGCTGGGTGTCATCAGCGTAAATGTTATAGGAACTATAGTGACTTCTTATGATGGTAGGCCTACTTTAATGATACTTTGTACAATTGAAACTGTCTAAGACGACCATCCATTATCGATTGGGGGTGGGAGTGGCCGTAATAGACAGCTGACCGTCTTACACAGTGTCATTATAGTGTGAAAATTTCTCAAGGGAGAAAACGGGAAGCGACCTTTTGTACAGGTGATTGTCTTACACAGGTGGCCGTTAGAGAAGGTTTGACTGTATCATGTTTTTTAAAACGTTTTTGCTACACAATAAAGGCATATAGGTACCGAAGATTAGAGGTACTACAAGAGAGTAACAAACACAAAAAGTAGGAGATATAAGGCCCGTGGATGTTTGATAGGAAAGAAGGAGCAAACCACACCAGAGCAACTGCCAACCACCCACGTATCAGGTCTCTAACATAAGTCATAACATAAAGTACCCTGTGGTACCCTGTAAGTCAAGTTTTCAGTGCAGACTTTTCTTTCCCTTCACAAGAACAGGGTGTGGAAACCCACATAGGTGCCACTCGCGTGACTCAAGAACAATACAAGGGATTCTGAATTAAATGTCTTTTCCTGCCTTTCTAATCAAATGAATTGATCAATATTGTCAAAAGCTACGCTTAAGTCTAACATTGTGAGCATTGAAACGCAACCTGCACCCGCTGCACATTGGAGATTATTTTACACTTTTATCAATACTGTTTCTGTGTTAGTTTTTGTGTTATTGGCTCTGTTAGAAACAAGGGCAGTAGGATTTTGATAGGGACATTAAAGCAGATTGACTATTATTTGTTTTGGGCTTATCTATTTTTTGTATCTGGTTCTGCTATGAGAAGGGCTCTTACCGTTTTCGAGAACACTTTAAACTCGCCTGACAGGCTGTTTTTTAATGTATTTACTGCGAGGGTATTTATACTCGGTTCTGTTATCGCTAGAACACTATTCAGTGTACATTGATAGATCTGTTATGCTGAGCCGGCTAGACAGGGTTGTTTTGTCACTGACTGAGCTGATTTTGTCACTCTTGGCGTCCGGTTTTCTTTTAAATATAAGAAGAAGATAGAACCATCATCACATACCAGAAAAACGACTTTATTGCATATCGCTAGCCGCGTGATTCAACCGCCTAAGTGCTAAGTAACAAATTTTTCAAGAGAAGCAAAAAACTGTTTTAATTCTTTATGCTCGTACCTATGAATCTGAATTTCAGATATATGATATAATATGATGTAGGACGGTGGTCCGTAACTAACTTTTTAAGAAGAAAAAGCTGTCTTACATAAGTTACTGGACATAGGGGTTTAGACCTACCAAAATCTGCGTGATTCAACCACTTATAAGTGACAGTAAGCCGTCGTCTAGGCACTAGAGTCAAGTTACTCAACACCACTCGACGAGCGCCAAGGGTCGCTTGGTCGCTTGGATTATCGACTAAAGCAAGTCATAATAAATGTAAGAGTAATTATAAAGTCATGGGTAATTATTTCAGTTATTTGGTTGGGTCTTCTGGGGCTTGACTGTTTTTGGCCTCATGGCGTTGGTAAAAAAGACAGTCTCTCTTAACATTCAATGTGTACTGGATGTTTTAATTCAGTGTGTATCAAAGGCAACGAAAGTTTGTGACAACGGGGTCGATTTAATTGTTTCAGCCAGGTCTGAATGGTTCAGAAATCGAAAATCGAAAGGGGGCGGGAGGGGGGG